GAGGTTTCTGCCTCTTAAAAGCAAGTTATGCAAACGTTAATTTCATGCAATTACAAATAATGAATCCATTATTTTAACTGTTTCTAAAAAAAAAACAAATGTATAGGGCGTAATGGCGTTTATAAATTATAATAACTGTTATTAGCTCTGACCTTTCCGAAAAGCAACAGCAAACAGTTGTGTTGAGCATGTGGTCCCAGTCACAGGAAATCTTGAAAATCATTTGGATATAAAGGAAGAAGGCATAATCTCACCCAGCCTGCACTGAACTAGTCTTGGCTGAGGATATTGTCAGTGGGAATACTCCAAAGATCTCATAAAGCTAAAGGTGAAAGAGGCAGAGCTTTTAGGGGTCAAAACCAGTGAGGTTTCAGCAACAACACACAAATGGCTGACACATTTTACCCTTGCACTGATAATTAGAGACATCGTTCACTTGATCAAGTCTCTGAATTGTGCAACCTTTTGTTGGAAATGATTCTGCCATGGACACTGTTGTTAAGCCTGTTCCTGTACACCTGCTGCGCTTGCTCTCATATAACCCCTTATGTGTTGGACATTTTCTGACTTTGGCGCCTCTTAGTGGTGACAGACAACAATGCACCCTGTTATGACACGATGACAAGAGCTTTGTTTTTCTTCAAAACCTTTATTTCTGTCGTTCTAAAATGCATTTTAAATGTCAAAAACATAAGATTTCAAAAACAAACATTCTTCTTTTATTTTTTTTAAATTAATAACATTTAATAGCCTAATGCAAACAAAAGTATACAGTTAATATAACAAACACATGGAAGCAAGTAAGACAGTTACTGATTTGGACAATTCTTTTCTGATGCATCAACACAATTAAACACTAAAAACACACTATTATACATACTCAAATCTTTCATAAGTACATAAAGATTACTCTTAGAAATATAGTAGCTGACAAAATATTTTTTTATTGATGATCAGATTACATTAACAACAAAAACGACAGATTTATTTAACCCAGGCCTTGGTCAAATGATATTTATCAGTAAGTCACTGGAGTTAGTCACATAGGACAGAACTGTTTAAACAGTAACACATATTATTGTGAGAATATCTGACTGAAAATGTAAAATAGCTACAATAATGTGAAAAACAGTTACGTCGGATAGGCCGAAAAAATTTAACAAAAAGTGCTCACAACAAATTTAAATTTAAACTTTGAAATTCATATATCAGATCAACTCACATTTTAAATAGTTTTCACATAAACAGTCGTGTTAAATCTAGAGTGAGTTTACTGCTCTTTAGCACCAAGGTAACTGGAGGACAGTGAAAACAATCATGTTGCTTTTTAGGGTCTTAATTGCACCATCACATTAATGTTCTGTTATGCAAAACCTGTCAGCAGCATACATAGGCTCATTTTTGTGGTAATGGAAATGGAAAATATGCCCTCCAATATGGATAGACTCAGAAAATAGGGAAATACTTGATGATATGAATGATAAACAAAGTGGGTGAAAAAAAACACAACCTATACCTGTCACAACCACTTATACCTGGCAAATTGACCCTGTATAGCTCAGAACATGTATCATATACAAGGTCCCCTCACAACCTTCCCTAACTTCCACCCTTTTCTTGAGAGCTTAAAAAAATCCGCACAACAGGGAAGTCATTGGTAAGCAGCAAAAGAACTGAGCATCAACTTAAACTGCTAAACTGAATAGCAGAGCTCGCTATGGAGCTCTGGGTGGCGTAGCTGATTGTTTTAATACATGCTAAAGTTATGAAGCAGTTATAAAACTACTTTGTGCTGGTTTTCCTGGGTTTACATCCGCCACCTCTTAAAGCCCATCACCATACTGCAGCCATAGCATAGTGTCACCACAAATGCAAATATCTGCAACAAAAAGGAGAGAAAGCAAAAAACTGTTGGTTAGACCTTAGAACACATCAAAATGTAAAAAATATTACAATTTACAACAGATATATCACAAGAAGTCTTTCTCATTCTAATCAGCAGCTAAAATATTTATTCATCAAAAGTACAAATGTTTTACAATGTTTAGAAATGGCCTATTTGTTCATTATCATGCAATATAGAATACAAAAACCCAGTACAGCAAATTTGGTAGTACATTTTAGGTCAGCACAGGTGTTTGGGTGCATTTTATCAACATTAAACAAGACCCAACCTTATGTAACCTAACATAACCTACTATATTTCTGTCAAAAGGATAGCTGACACTGTTTTATCATACTGTTTTATGGCCTGACAGTTCTAGATGATAGTAGGACTCCACAGGCAAACACAACACTCTTAATTTATGGCAACACAAACACTCATTAACGTTATCAAAAGGTGCATGCAAAGTTTTATTTAGTTTCTGTCAAGTTTGAATGCAATGCGTTTTACTATGAGCTAAACAAACAAAGTAGGTTAAGTGGTTATAGTTTTTTTTAAGATTTATAGCACTCACCGTGGCCGCAACATTAATACTGTATTGCCTATCGTCCAGGACTGTGAATATATTGCCCCGAGGGTAGGTTATACACATGACAGTCTCAGTGTTGTTAGGCATCGTCTTGATGTAGGCTCCTCCATTAGCTGCTGTAGTTGCTGCCTCCAACACGAAGGCAGCAAAGTAAAAAAGCAAAGCCATAAAATGGTAAAACACATCCTAAAAAAAAAGGAGAGAGAACGCATTAGAAATAAGTACAGAAAGGTAAAAGTGTTTTAAGTGTAAACAACTACAGACATAATGTCAAAATGTGTTTTTAGTAAACTTGCTGAACAACTGTAAGATTCCACAATACAAGACAAAGACTGCAGCAGGTGGGAACAAAGAATGACCAACATGAGAGTTTTATTCTGTTGGGTAATTATCAGACAATAACTGCACTGCTCGCTGCAGCTACCTGTAGTCAGGCATTCACATAAAAAACATCTGTTAAAGAACTGACCTTTCACATTAATTGCAAGGCATAACATGGTAGATACAACAAACGTGGGAAAAAAAAGAGAGAATCAAAAACACATGAGAGTGAAAAGGTTTAAGTGATTTGGAAACCATCATATTAAGAAAGAAAGACAGAGAGAGAGAGAGAGAGATTAAAGCTACAGAGGGAGAGAGAGGGCATGTCAGGGAGTAAAGAAGGTTGATGAGACTTTGTTTTGCCGACTCTGTGAGCATGGCGGGACTACAGG